TGTTATCTTTCATACCATGATCTAGATAAATCCTGCATATGCGGTATGATGTGCGCATGTTAAATATACTAAATATACGACTGACTAAAATATTTGGAGACGTGATAGTAATATTAAATACGTAAGCTTTCACTGTTTGTAAACCGTAAGTAAATAAAAAATTGATATTTTTTAACTGAGATACATTCTGAAAACAACTTGCAAACTACTTCCATAGATATGCTAAAGAATCAGAAACAAATGACCAATTTACACAAATGTTTTGTTTTATAAATCTTGCATTATTTTCAAAAAGGGAATACCGTGTATCTGGGAAGAAACTTTTAGAGTTTGTTTCAGAAAGACAGTTACTTCCGGAAAGTTGGTAATTTTATCATAAAAGTCTTACAAGTAATTATGGTTAGTGTTGAACTTGTTGGTATAGCATATGATTTAATCGTTTTACTTGAAATCAATGAAAGACATATTGAGCATGAGATTACGGGGGCATAACAATCGTTTCTGATTTCCTTTTTCACTTATAATTGAGAACGTCTATTATTGTCTAAGATTAGAGATACATTGTACACTTTAAGGGGTATATGATTTTATGATGCAATAATGCTTTGTTTTAGAACGAAAGAAGCGGAGGCTATGTACGAACGAGCGTTACAGTACGATACTCATAACCCGGACCTTTATCACAACGTAAGTAAACAAACTGCACTTGTTTGATGAGATAACCAATAATTTTCGTAGAACAGCAGTAATTAGCCGTTTAACAAGTGTGCGGTTTTCTTATTCATATCAATGTTACTTCGTTCTCCTAAGCTAGATTTAGTCTCATGAAATCTAAGTAGTGCCATAATGTTTGTTATCTAAAGTACTTGCAGCAATGTTTCTCTAGTTAGCAAAAGAATTTAGAATCACTGCAGTAAACACATTGGTTATCATTATGATATATTAACACACACACGGTTATATTTTATTTCTTCAAATAACCTTGCACATTATTTTAAATGCTTGTATGTGCACACATTAATTTTTTTTTTCTATTGACGGAATACTTTTTTAATTAGTAGAAGTATCTTTAACAGAATATTGATTGGAGAACAACAAATAGGTAGATGCTTAATCAAAATACATGCGAAATATGTAAAAAATAAAAGAGCGAATATCTGAACGTGTATGCGTCATGCTACATGTAAACCAAAATCAAATTAGATGCGTGAATGTAATTTAAGTGAATTTTATTCTTGGTAGAAAATTCAAGAGCGTTTATCTTTTAATAACTGAAAACACAAGGCAGATGGCGTGTTGAGTAACGTGATGATGATTCTTTAGGTAGGCCGCCCTAAAACATTTAACTAAGTTTTCTAAGTTTGACAACATTCTTGAAGAGTTTACACAATCGTAACCTAAAGACACGTCATGCAAAAGTTAAACCTAATTTTTGTACCTATTCTGAGAGGAAGAGATGTTAGACTCAGTTTTATAACGTGTGGATTTGGAATCAGATAAGAAAAATGTTAGAAGTATTTTCACTACATCTGCTTTCAATTATTTCGGGGCCCGGCATGGCCAAGTGGTTAGGGCGCTTGACTCTCCATCTGCGGGTTGCGGGTTCGACTCCCCGTTCCACCAAACATACTCGCCCTTTTAGCAGTGGGGGCGTTATATAGTGACGATCAATCCCACTGTTCGTTGGTAAAAGAGTAGCCCAAGAGTTGCTGGTGGGTGGTGATGACTAGCTACTCTTTCAATGCTAAATTAGGGACGGCTTTCGCAGATAGCCCTCGTGTAGCCTTGCGCGAAATTCAATATGATGTCAGTACAGTGTATTTTTGTAAACGTACAACAAAGTTGATAGTTTTCTTTGATTCTTAACCCAGAGCTTTTTTGTGTTTTCTTTGTTGCTATCACTTACCTACTTAGTTAAATTGTTAAATTAAACATAATGTTTGAAAATTTGAACTATTCAAAACCCATATCTTCATCTGTAATATTAATAATATATTTAGATTGATAGTTTCTTCAGTATACTTAGATGTAACTATTGTATGTTGGTTGGAACTATATAGCTTGATTTGCACTAACTTCCTTCGAAGACAAGAATTCATATATCTTAATAAATAAAGTTATGGTAGAGTATAATGAAAACTAGTCATTTTTCTTTTTCTAGTTATCAGACAGGTTAGGTTATATACATATTGTCATGTAAGTTGCTTACGTTTTTTGCTGAGAAGTTGTTCCAGTCAAACTTTATAAGTATGATAATGGCGAAGAACATTTTATCGTTTTTTTCTTTTTACCTTTTAGATTATCAGTGTACCACTTCATTCATTTAAACACCTTATTTAGTACATGGCGGGCAACATTGAGCCCCTAATTGATGACTGTTTTTCTTCAAAGCATTAAAAAAGATAACCCTAACCCCTGAAGTATTATTTATTCTCCTCAGCTTGGAGTATTGTTAATGGACCAAAGGAAAAATCAAGAAGCCTTGGCCATGTTTAACAGGGCGTTAGATATCGACCCGGATCACGAAGTAAGTGCACCTCGATATCTTAGGATGAGTAAAATGCTTTTGTTTTACTACAGGCAAAAAAGAAGGAACCCACGCCACGCCAACAGAAGAATACGAAATAGATTAATGAACATTTAATAGCTTTTATCTTATATTTATAAGCCAGAATATGACTATTTCTTTTGGTGAAACTTTCAATATTATCGACAAAATGTCGATATTTGTTTTGAAATAATACACTAGATAGTTTTATTTTGGAACGAGCCTCTTTACTTATTTAAGAATGTGAAACCCTCGTACTGTTAAACAAATATTTAAAGTATTACTATGAAGATTAAAGATATGATATCAAATAAAAATTGGAGAAACGTAAGAGCTAATTTGCTTAAAAAACAGATTTCAAATTCAGTTAAAACTTGATGACCAGTGCAACTATTTTTCCTGTATCGTTAATTTGAAACAACAAAATAGACTTTGAAAAGTATTATTGGTTCACATTTTCATTCTTATACGTAAACAACATTCCTCTGTTTGTTGTATAGATAATTAATTAATTAATTATTTGAGAAGTACTTTGCCAAATAACATTTTCTCTCTAATTTGATCTGTAGCAAGCATTAGTAAATTCTGCCATTTTAATTCAAGAATCCGACATGGCTCTTCATCATAAACAGCTTGCAAGTGAGAGGTAAGAACGAATTCCAAATATATATATATATATATATGCTAGTATTCTAATTATTGTGTGAATTATGTTGCATCGAAGTTACAGATAATGTCGCTACTTTAGTTCTGTTTATCAAAATGTTTCTCTGTTTAAGGTTATATCTGTATGTAGGTTTATATTGAACTATTTATCTTGCGGTAAACACATCATTACGGATAATACATGTATTATGATAGGTGCCTTCAAAATCAATACGCTCTATTAGAAGCAATAAAAAGCTGCGTATTTGATATATTTTTTTCTATCTAATCAGTATTAAAGATCTTATTCAACATGGAAGATAAAACTAATCACCTTTATGATTAGGAATTTCCTATTTATAATACGTTTTTCACAATTTTAATTTTGAAGATAATCTACTTTCAAACCTAATTTTAACAAACAAAATAAAATATTCTGAAAATAAAAAAGTAAAAAAAGATGTTTTTCAAATTTTGTCATATTCACGGTACAGAAAGTTTAAAGATACTCGCGTTTTATACGTTCCTTAACAATGCTAGTAATTTAAATTTTATAGTATCAATCTATGACTACTTGATGTTCATATGCACTCTGTTTTTCTCTCATTAAAGTATAATTTGTTAATTTTTTCAAGGACAAACTTATATTAAAGATAAAGCAGCTACTATACTTTAGTGCTAGGTATCTGTAATCAGTCATGTTTAATATGAATAACGGAACGTCACACCAGTATCTAATTACAGAGAGCGTATAATTATTTATTTTTTACTTTGATTTTGCACATCATATTTGTAATTATTAAAGCCTTAGATATGTAATAGCTGTCCTGATTTCCTCGTTATGTTTTGTTAAATCTTATTTATTTTGCAAACTTTCTAAATTGAGTTATTATATGATAAAAGAAACGGGGAAGGGCAGATGAAGAATATAATTTGAAGAGGTGCCTTTTCTAAGTTTACAGATACATTTCAGACTTATATTATTGGATAAAATAAGCTATCCTCTGTAAACATGACGATTCATATTCCTAAAGATAAAGTAATGCCATATATCACAGCACAAGATGCAAGGTAGACGAACTGACAATTTTAATATGAACAAGTAAAAAAGGAATTGTTTCATGACACTTCCTTACGAAGAACGTGAATATGAAAACCAAATAAACACGTTCATAAGTTTGTGCTTATGTGGGTTGCGAATATTAAACCAAAATACAATGTTCCTGAAGGTCAACGGTCAAGATCTTTATCCAAATGTCCTATTATGTATGACACAATTTAAATGAAAATGCATTTTCATATGCTAATATAAATATAGAATGTTCCCTGGAAATCAAAGGCCAGTTTCGTCATTCTAATATGTAATTACACATCTCAATATGCATTTAAACATTAAGATTATTTCAAATGTTCCTACGCATAGAAAAAAGTGGTCAAAGGTTGAATTCACCAAATTTCATTTAATTGTTGCTTAGAGCAGAGGTTCCCTACCTTTCCCAACACCCCCACCCCTCAGAATATCTCGCATCCTGACTGAGGGCCCACCACCCAATATATCTATAGATACTGAGTAGCTAACAGTGTATTTGCTACGGTCCACTGACACTTTTCGGTCATATTGTCGTTTTTCACAGAGATAATTTACTTGCACGAGATGCTTTGCATAATATTAGTTCAAAAGCATGGTCAGAACTATTATTAATATGTTCGTGTTTGTTTGTAGAATGTTTTACACTAGGAACACACTCGAAAAAAAAAAGATCAGAAGAGAAATGGATAAAGAATTTTATAAAATTAATAAAAGCTATCAATTAGAAACAAGTAACAAGATGTTTATAAACTAACATTGAAAATGGTTTGATTGCATATCGAGTAATTTGTAAGTTGCTTGATTACTGTGTCGTATCATGAATGTCGTCTTTATTATTAAATAAGTTAGGCAAATACGTTGATTTACATAGGTGAATCAATACATAATTATACATACAGATTATAATATATAGAGAGATAAACTGACGGATTGTTGTTACAGAAGTAAATGGACAGACAGAATATTAGAACAGACGTATAGGGTTAAAGGTAGATAGATAAATAAACGTAGAATAAGTTTTAACCAGATAAATAAAGAGAGATATCAACAACTAAAATAGAGATATAAATAAATAAATAAAGTACATGAATATATTATGTTAGTTCGGCGCAATTTTAAAACAAGGGTTGCCACGTTATTATAATAAAAATAAAAATTGCTACCTAGTTAGTAGAGTTTAAAGTATAATTTGACCTTTCCTAATCATTTCTCAAATCATTAATCTCTTGACATCCGCTTTCACAACATTAATCACACAAAAAACTACCTTAATTGTTTCATGTTTTTTCGCAGGTTACGAAAGATGGTAGAAGGAGGTAAACAGAATGAATTGATTTACTTTAACCTAGGGATGTTATCTCTAGAGAACAAGGATATTCTTGGAGCTGAACAGTGGTTGAATAAAGCTCTACAGGTAAGGTGTTTTGTTTTATTCATGACCTACTTTAATATTCGTCTCTTTAGAGCCCAGATACAAGAACTATACTCATTGATTATGTATATATTTTGAATTACAAATAACTTTATAAGGTGGTATAACTAGACGTGTCATTTACGTACAACAGGAAATATAAATCCTAATTTCAATATATATATATATATTGGTACTCAATTTCTATGAACAGGTGAGTAACAAAAATACGTGAAAGTTTTTGAAACTATAGTTCACAGGAACTGTGACTTTTTTGTTTTGTTTTAGATTCGTCCAAACCTCCGAAGTGCATTGTTCAATTTAGCACTGCTTCTTTCAGAAGACGGGAGACCCCTAGAAGCATTTGTATACCTTAAAAGGCTTCTACAGGTACATAAAAACTTAGAATATGAAAAATTACATTCTTTTGTGTAAAATAGAAAACTGCCAAGTAACGAAACTGTACTTTTTAGTTTTTCTTTTGCAACTCCAGCTCCTAAGTGGAGAGCTGGGTAATCAATTCCAGCCATCACGTCAAATGAACTTTGTGGTTTGAAATCAAATCAGTTGAAAGGTTCGCTAAAGTATGTTCTTTGAAATCACCCGATTCCCTCAAATGATATATGAGTTTGCATTTATGAATCTTTTATATTTTGAAGCTCTTAAAATCTGCAGTCTGATAAGTTTGATATCCTTTCAACCAACACAGTACTGTGCTTTGTCGTTAGTTTGATATTCTTTCAACCAACACAGTACTGTGCTTTTTCGTTAGTTTGATATCCTTTCAACCAACATAGTATTGTGCTTTGTCGTTAGTTTGATATCCTTTCAACCAACATAGTACTGTGCTTTGTCGTTAGTTTGATATCCTTTCAACCAACATAGTACTGTGCTTTGTCGTTAGTTTGATATCCTTTCAACCAACACAGTACTGTGCTTTGTCGTTTTACTTGTCGCAAATCGCTTTCAAAAATATTAAACATTTAGTTCGACATCCTTTTAAATGTGCATCTGTGCAGCTTTAAAATTAATATATTACAAAAAAACATACAAAAAACACACGATAGAACTTGTTATGTAGAAGAAGCATTACATCTGTGGTAAAAACATCAATAAAAAATAAAGTGTAATTCATTTAAATGTTATTAAAATACTTTAATATACTAATCACAAAAGCGTATGAACTATTCAGTGCCGTATGTAATGTCATAATGTTCTTTTTAATGAAGCCATTTGGGGAATAGATTTGTATAAAATTAAATAAAAATGTTTTATTATGTTTTTTTTATATGGTGAGTTGACAAGAAACTTTCATAGCCTAATGTGTTCTTTGCCAGAATAATGATTACGCACCTCAATACATTAGTGTTTATAAGCTATACTGAAAAACAATAGTATCATAAGTGTATGATCCTACTATTAACTTCGCATACATAATGAAAAATACCATTAAATTACGAAAAAAATCTTATCTATCATATTATGTAGTACAAAATCCCTCAAAAATATATTTATCTCCATCTGTTTTCCACATTGAAATCGATAGGGCAGTAGTTTCTTATACTTTTAAATGATTACAAACATAGTTTAACTGATTGCCTGAATTCTAAAACCTAAAGCTTTATTGAAAACTCTCACGACACTACAATTTAAAAGTAACACGATTATTTATTAGATTTTAATCTCATAGACGAAGAAATGTTTCTCTCCCTTTCGTTGTAGCTAAGTTTAGAAGAATAAATTAAATTAATTAAAACAATGGTGTATGTTTCAAAATTATGATTAACCATTAGGAATCAAGTTCAACAGATCTGATCGCAAGCAATATTTATAGCTTTGATTTATGTTGTTGTTTTTTTTGCAAATTTTGCTTTCAAAATAAATATTCCATCTTTTCTACAAAAGTTTTGACTGGAATACGGAGAGTGAAAAATTCAAGTATTTGTACTATTTTGCACTATATAATATTTACTAAAGACTCGTTTAAGACGGAGACTGAATGTAAAGTACACATATAATTCTACTATATACAAAAATTCCCAAACTTAAACTTAAGGCACAGTCTAAATGTAAAATATACATAATTCAATTGTTTAAATAATAGTTATGGTATATATATATATATAATATTTCTTATAAGTTCGCTTATAATGTTGCCTGATTGTAGGGTACACACAGAATTCGGTACAGGATTTGTTGAAAATCTGTTAAGGATGAGACTTCAATTTAAATTATACACTATTCAAAGGTTCTTGTTAAACTATACAGGATGTATTAAAGAATTCAAAGCGCTATAATACAGTGACTATTGTACCAGAAAATGTTCTGTTTATATTTATACAAACATTCGTGTTTCATGACTTAACAACACCAACTTGAAAATTGCTATTTCTCTCCACAATTCGATAGAACCAACCAGATCATGTGAAAGGATTGATATTAATAGCAGATATTTACGCAGGGCATTTTGGAGACCTTGAGGCAGCTGAAGAGGTATTTTTATTAATTTATTATTTTAAACTGTTGTAAAACATTATCATTCAGTATCTAATCATGCACCGCTTATTTACATACTGTGTACTTTGGCGTAGCAGGCAGATCATATTTTAACCAATTATTTTACTTTGTAAATAATCACTATAGTCCACTAAAGGCAAATACGTTTTTTGGACTGCTATTTTAAAATCACACTAATATTAGCATAAAAGAGTTTCGAAGCCCAAATCGTGATTTTTTTCTTTCATGATAATCAAAACATAACTTTAGAATTAGAAATGTATTTCTTTAATTTTTTTCAATGGATTCTTATTGTGATTTTAGCGCACAAATGCAAAATGGTCCTTTTGTATTTGATCATTTGTAAACAATCAAGATCATTTATGTAATGTGAGAGGTAATGATGAAAGGACATATAAATAGTAATGAAGCGATCGTTACTTTTTCCGATTTTATCTCCGAAAAAACTCGGTTAAAAGGAGGAGGATGATAAAAAAGCTGATTGATAAAATCTAAATCGTCTGTGATTTTTATTATTATTATTATTTTAAGAAGTGATTTTAACCTTCTGGGATGAGTTGCTCTTTATAAACGTTTTTCTTGGATCCTTGTGTAGGTTGTTTTTATTTCATATGATCATTAATTTAGTTTTAAGTATTATTAGTTTATATTGTTATATTTCCCTAACATGAATATTTTTTATTCACTGTGTACTTTTAGTGCTACAAAAAAATCCTCCAATCAGATCCTGCCAACATTCAGGGTCTGCATAATCTCTGCGTAGTCTATTATCGGCGTCAGCAGTTGGTAGAAGCTGAAGCTTGCTTCCAGCAGGCTCATGTGCAAAGTCCAAATACGGAATATATACGCCAGCATCTAGAAATAACAAGACGCCAACTCCAGCAGGTGGCGGCACAGGTCGAAAAAGAAAATCCTCTGAAAAGCATACCACGTGATCCATCTGTTCTCCAACAAATATCACCATCTCCGACAATAAGGTGATAATACGTTTAACTGTTCACCAACTAAAAAGTAAGGTCACGTGCACTTATAAACAAACCACGATGACAAGATTGTTTGAAAAGAAATTGACAAACATTTGAGTCATTATTCTGTCTTTCTTCTTTGGAAACAGCGATATAATAACTAAAGTAAGGAGAAGAAAATGATAAATATACTACGTGCCAAGATTATATGATCAATTTCAATTCTTGAGCTTTTCATATTTGTGTGGTCATTCTTTGATTAATAGATAAAAGATTTTTTTCCTGTGCTATAAGTTATGAAAATCCATGTTCAAGTTGTTTACTTTAACAACAATGATGTTCTCATAGTAAAGACAGGGTACTGTGATATCCTTGGTTTCATTGTCTTGCACGTCAAACATATTTATTTCAAGATATATTTTGCGAAAACACTACATGAATTAGATTTTTTGAGGACTTTTTCACATCAAATTGATTATGCTCCCATGCTTAAGATCATAATCGAGTGAACTAATTGAAACTTAAATTTATTTATAAATAGTCAACATGTGTAAATTCACAGTTATACTTAGAAAGTTTTGTTTTCTAGTGAATTATATTTGATTTTATGAGCACTAAAACTAAACCGCATGAAACCACTTAAAAGGTAACAATAACAAAAATGTCAATTATAGTATCAAAATCATCGTAAGTAGTGACGTTATTGATCACTGTTGTTCGACTACAAGTTAATAGTTATTTACAAGTTATTATAAATTGTTAAGCCTATTTTAACGTATTTTCAGATATAGTAAATGTGTATTTGTTTCTGTATGAATGATTTTCATATGTTTGAGAAGTAATGTTGTGACAACAGGTTTGAGATTCCTGGAATATTTGAAAGAAACTTGAAACTCCACAAATATCATAAATAAATTCAAAATAGCGTTCAAATTTTGTAGTATATCGTTTTTCATAGGAACCAATCTTAGGATGTTTGTTTCCCCTTCATTTAGAAGTAAACTTGACTAAAACTACAATGAATGCTAACTATAACTATTTGAATTTAAAATTATTTTTTCTTTAATAAACATTTTTATCAGAGTTAAGTGAGTTTTCTTTGTGGTTGAAGCAGTTTTTAGTACATATCATCAAGCCTTGCTATCTCAGCTAAAAAGAAAGTGAATAAAAAAACCGTAAAGTATAGCATAAAGTTGAATAGGATTCAAAGATGGAAAAATAACTTTGAATATTTCATTCCAGGATTTACGAATTTATTCCATATTCATATAATTACAAATGGAAAATCTTAAATCTAACCCATGATTATAGCAGTCATTTCAATTCTACTGGCTCATCACATGAGAACATATTTTGTTTTCATCTATTCAATTTCGAAATCCTGTTGACACACACACACACACAAACAAACAAACCTTTGTTATTTGAAAAGCTAAAAGAAGTAAGACAACATAATGTCTGACTGGCAGTTGTCTGGGCTCTTCAAGTCTTTTAAGTGTCAAAATATTAAGGTTGGTGAAATTTTGAAAACAAACAATGTGTGCTGTGGTTTAATTTTTCTCTATTCTATGTGTGTTTTCATAACCAAGTCATTGGTCAAACTGACAAATTTGAGTTTTTCTGATTTTATTTATTCATCTTGGCTCTTGAAAAATAATTTATATCACATAGAATGAGAATCGTGAACATTTAAGAGAATTAAAAGTTTGTCTTCAGAGAAAACTAACGTTGTAATTATTTTTATTTAAGGTAAGTATATTATTCGTCTGACATTTCTTTATACTGGATCTAAGATGAACGGACGGGCGTTTCTTTTTATTAACAATTAAAACATCTTACAAAATCTAAAAAAATACCAACGGTTCTTACGAACAGCCGTTTGATAATAGTCTATTATTAGTCTCTTAAAAGGTTTTCTTTTGAGTTTACAACATAGAGTATTCGATCTTTCTCAGTCCATTGCTCATTTTTGTGGTAAAACTGAAACCAAGATGCCAGCCTAGAGTTAGTCGGTGGTTTAATATGGCCCAGTAATAAATAAAACAAACTGTATTCACATCATTTGAAAATAAAGAAAAAGCTCAGTTCGTGTAACTTTATTGGCAATGAAGAATGTTATTCAAATTGGTACCATTCAAGGTAAGCCGAGTGTGGCTTAGTGGCTCACTTGCCTGAGTATGGATCTGAGGGTTCATGTCTCATGTCCCGTTGCCGTCAAATCAGCTTCGCACTATGAGACCGTGGCCGCGTTATAAGAGTGACTGTCAAGTTCTTCTATTCGATTAGACAAAATCACCCTAAGTGCTGGTGGTGGGTGTATTTACCAGCTGCCTTTCCTCTAGCCTATCAGTTCAAAATTAGAGACAGATATACCTTGTGTAGGTTTGCGTGAAAATTCAAAACAAACGACCATTCAACACTTTCACCATCAGCTGATTGCCTATGTTTATTTTAAAATTGTATTCTAAAATAAAACATTCCAAAGTACGCTTAAAAGAAAGTTAAATATAGAAATGTACTGAATTTTTTCAATATTTGGGCTATTTTGTGGAAAAAGTTTAGTATTAGAATCATCGGCATTTTGATAAAACAAAGCATAAGTGTACTTGATTACAGTTTAGACTCTACCAGTAGTATTTTTGACAAATATATTTTGTTTGTTAATTGTTAATCTCAAAGTTATTTAATGGGCTACCCATCACGGGTATCTAAACTCAGTTTTTAAGATTATAAGTCTTCAGACTTACCGCCAGCCCACTCGTACTATTAGGCAATTATGTAGTATAATCAATCATCACTGCACGATTTTAATGGAAACTATTTTCCTCAATACCTTAAGCTGTTCTAGAGTATTTCAAAAGCATTACAAATATGTATCTGAAACGTTCATTTTTTAAGAAAAGTTAAAAGCATGTATGTATTCTAGCTTTGTTAGCAGTCGAATGGGGTTTACATAGAAATGATGTGCAGATCTTTGAAAATCGTAAAAGGTATATGAAATATTTTCACTTTTTCATAACAGAACATCGTAAGTTACATTGTGATATTATAAACGTTCGACCAGCTTATTTTTATCCTTACCAAAATTTCACTTGGGCATGTAAAAAACTCTGGCAACATGCAAGAAAATCCCTATAAACTCCGCCGATTATAAGAGTTTAATCTTTCCCTGAGAGGGGAGTCCTCGAGAAGGGGTGATGTTAATCTTTTGACGATTATCAGGAAGAATACATATTTGTAAAGAATGAATCATGAAAATCGTGAAAAACATAAAATGAACCGTTATAGACGCTCTAAGAACCAATATGGCATGCATAATTGAATTAAAATTAAATATTCACATTCAGGCGATCTGAAGAAACGATTCTTCTAGATATCGGAGCTTATTATACTTAAATGATACCAAAAGTCGAACACAGTTATTTGTGTCTATAAGATGCAGTAAAATATGTTTAACATGAAATATGTAAGTTTATTAATCTTCATTTGAATATTGAATGGAGTTAAAATTAGTTACATTAATGATTTTTTAAACTTCAAACAAATACTTAAATACAGAGGGCTAAAAACGTATATATTAGAAAGATCCTTGAGCTCTGAATTTTAGACCTGTGACGCTGGTTTAGATTTACCACTGTAAGATTACTACAAATCCTGAGCCATGTATGATGTGTGGTGTGATTTCATTTTAAATAATAAATACAAATATTACATTCATAGCAATTTCAGAAGTAAGGTTTATTTAAATGACTGCAAACTAGCTCTATAGAGTTTCAAAGTAAAAATATAAGGAATATTCTAATCAAATCCAAATGCTTGAAAAACTCTAGTTTATTTTAATATAAATACACCTCTGATCTTTAAACTAAAAATTTTAAATCTGTAAACATTCGTACTATAGAAATGCTTTATATTTTTTTAGTAACTGAATGTTATAACTTTGCTACTATGTTTCTTCTTTCATTCTCTAATTTTATCATGTTCAAAAGATGTGTTGTAAAACCTTGCACTGATTTACTTTATTTAAGGCATGCTTTATCTGAGTTTAAACTATATCCACATATAAATATATGCTTGTGCGATCTTTTTTGACGAAGGTAAACTATTGACTTTCTATGGTAATATAAAGTCTCAAATTGGTTCGTATGTTTGATACAGGAAATCTACTTTTTCATTACTGTCATTAAAAAAAGTTTTATTATCTGATGTTGGTAGCAGATATATATAGTAATTGTGTGAGCTTTTGAGCCAAGAATTTATGTGATACAGACATATTTTCTATTACGCAGCGCTAGTGTTGTCAAACAATTCATTTCAACGTACGTATGTATTGTGGTGCCCTCTCTTTTGACTACAAATAAATTGTAGTTTTACTCAATTTAATGAAATGAGTTTTGTGTCACTTTTTTCCTCTCTTCTTTCCTCACGGTTGCATTTCTACATTTATTGCACATTTAAAACTAATATTAAGCCCCAATCTTGGCGCCATGATATAATTTCGAGGGGGAGGGGGACATGTATTAAAATCTTCCTTTCCAAATTACTTTAATGTATGAAAAGTGTACACTTTAACAGTACGAACATTTTTAACAAGGAAAAAAAATGTGATTGTGGTTACGTATTACAATTTCAAATAGCCTGAAACTGAGTTAATTGATACTTTAAATTCAGTAGTTAAATATATGACGATATGTCTCCAATTTATGATATTAAATGATTTTTAATGTTCGAACTTTGTAACAATCACAGTTATAGCTTCTGAAGTTTATAGCACACTGATTATAGCAAACTAATAATATATACTCTTTTTTTTTGGTGTGTCGCGTTGGTTATATTTATAGGCATGTGAAGAGTTTCTAGAAAATTCAGATTATGTAACAATACAAAGCTACACTAGCCTTTACGTACATACATATATTGTTGATTCTCACACTCGAGAATCTTCTACAACATTAGAGAATAGGAGAGAGTTTTGCAATAATATTTAACACTATAAGCCATGTATGGTTCTAAATGTAAATTTAATTTAAACAAATGTCAATATTAAAATAAATATATAATAATAAATCCGTCACATTATACAGAGAACAAAATAGATAGAAGTAGTCTAAAGGATAGTAAATTACTCTATTTGTATTGAATAGAACCCCTCAGGAGACCAAATGTCATAGAAGACCTTGACCTAAGGACGTTTGAGAACTTTTGATCTAAAATACACGTAGTTATATTAAAAACACCATATGTTTCAGTTTTTAGTATTATGTGATGTCCATAAACTGTCCAAAACTATTATCATTTCATTCACTTTGGGTATGATAGAGTGTTTAAAGAAAAATACTGACAGCAATAGAGATGAGAGATATTTATTTTTAATATTTGAAACTTGTGTAATTGAGTCCATTTATCAATCGGTTTGGTTTTGTTTATTTTGAATTTCGCGCACAGCTACACGAAGGCTATCTGCACTAGTCGCCCCTAATTTAACAGTGAAAGACTAGAGGGAAGGCAGCTAGTCATCACCACCCATCGTCAACTTTTGGGCTACTCTTTTACCAACAAATTATAACGCCTCTAAGGCTGAAAGGAATAGCATATTTGTTGGGACGGGGATTCGAACCCACGACCTTCAGATTGCGAGTCGACTTATCAATCGGCTTAAAGCAATTTAAAATAAGGCCTAATATGCTTATATATTTTATGTTTAAGCGTTGATAGACTCATACCCTCAGACTCTTAGACCATTAGCCTTATCATTATTATTTTATTTATTGACACAACGTCCTTTATCTTTTTAATTTGTTTTTAAGTATATGATTCTTATAGAAAAATACTCGTTACTCCGTTCTCAGTAAAACCTAAGTATTCATCAGGCCAAAAAAAAAGTCAGTGACGGTTTTATTGAGGACTTTCCTGGCACATAAAAATGCTCTGCGAACATATTAGATTAACGATTTTAAAAAATGCTCAGGAAAATTAAAAACAAGCAAAACTCAGAAAAGCTACCATTCTCTAAAGAAGAAAATCAAGGATTGAATATTCTCCATTGGTTAAAGTTATATTCGACGTATACTAGTTGTCATGTGGAAGTTATTGCATAAGCACCAGAGTTTCCAATTGCAACAGAGAGCTAATTGCACTTTATAAGAACGATTTGCATATGCTAATAGAGTGACTTGTTGTCTCAGACGCAAGCTGTGTCGTCAGAACAATATATTTATCGCCTACAGAGCTGATTCACTGGGAATTCCCTACTATTAACTATTCAATAGTGCAGTGCCTCCAGAAGTTAACTTATAGCTGGAGAGTTGTACTGTATATAAAGACTTTCCAGTGTAAAAAAAAATAAAAACAATACTTTGAAGAAATGAATCTTCACTGTTCTCCATGGAAGTGGAAAATTTGTGCAGAAGAATGTTTAAGTCAAGAGCAGGCTCTGAAATCACACACCAAACGAATCTAGGATAGTGCCCTCGTCTACATGGTCAATGTTATGGTAACAAAAGAGAATCTACCGTACAGGGAAGAATACGTAAAGTTTGTCAAGGTGTGTAGTCTAAGATGAACTTTCTCAGAAACTTGTTACAATGAAAATCACGGTGTCGGTCAACAGTTCGCAGTCATGGGCATTAAAATGAGTACGGTCAATGACGGAGAACGTAGTTCTAAGAGCAGTACTGGACATCGTTAATTATCATTGTGCTTCAGAATAAAACGAAGTTTTGCTTTTGTTTCCTTAGTTATTTACTATAGAGTTGTTTTGAAACAATAAGTAGGAAACAGGAATAGCATTTTTTTTTCAAATAACAATGAATAATTTTCAGAGACAAACTTAAAAACGGTAAAGAAAAAGAAGAAATGATAAGCCCTATATTTCTTTATTCAATAAACATTTTAATTACATTAGCATAGCTTTAAAAAAAAAACATTGATCTTTTGGGAAGAACACGTTTGTTTGTATTTTTGCTGACTTAAGAGTTGCGTTTTACACGAGCTCTGGTTTCTTTTATACTGCATTTCACTTTATGTTAGCGAAATGTAAGTCACAGCTAGGTTGCTGATAACATCAATATATACATACTGACATAAAAGCACTAGGGAAACTCAAAACCTTTTGATTAAGCACAACCTTACTTACTAATAGACGGTCAAACAAATACCAGTTCGTCTCATTTTCAATTATAACCACGATTTCCGTGTTTTATTTTTTAAAATTTGATTTAAATTCGCTTATTCAGTGAAAAATGGTAACAGCAGATTTTCGTCTTAGTAACATATGTTTTTAATCGCTAGCCAATAGTGGCCTTAAAATCAAACATCGTTTAAAACTCTAGGGATACTACTTGAGCGAGAATAAACACAGAATGCTTATACAATAAACAAAAAGACTAACTTGCCAAACTAAAGCTTATTTATTACACAACGTTTCAGGCAAAATTCTTTCCTGTGAGGACCAGATACATTCGTTTTGCATGAACGTGTCATGATAAAGTGGTTTCATAAACCTGGTTGAAAGACAACACAATTTTGTTTCTCATTCAGATGGTTAGCTCGTGTAAAGACTACAAATAAATTATGTCTGGATGAAGAACATTTATTGAAGAAGGAATCTGACAAGGACACTCGCCTCTTTAAGAAAAATAAGCTTTGTCCGTTTATATTACCGACGACAGAAAGAGACTTCTGAAATATTTTTCGAAATCAAATAAAAATGAAGAAAAACTTAGCTTTGTCCTGTATGTTCCATAATGCAATATATTTATCATACCATGTATTAATCATAAATATGTATTGTGTGTGTTTGTGTGCTATAAGTCCATATATATGTGTGTGTCTATGTGTATAGTGAGATACAGATGTAATTCCAACTTTGATTCACATAATTACGTCATTTCTGGTGGTTTAAAACTACTGATTTGTAATTCAGTGAGTATCATTAGTTTTAATTTAGAATGTTAGCGTAGAACATTGAGATATATAATAGTTGCAATTTTTCCGAAGTAGGAAAACCAGAATGAGATACATTCGGTTATCACGTTAGCTGAGTTAAAATGATTTCATTAACTTTATACAAAAGGTTTTTCTGACATGTGCCTTCGCCCATCATAGACATTGTTCTATCCTATAGAGCTAAGCGCCACTCTGTCTCTTGATTTTTAGTTAAAAGTAAAAATAAATTATGTTTCTCATGACGCATGTTGTAATAAGTAATAATTGGGGAATTTTACGTAGTAAAGACTGACAATATCTTCAACATTTCTTAGGAATTACTAGAAGTATTAACTACATTATGAAAATTATAATATTAAGAAACAACAAAATCTGTGGCTCCCTCTAGCATTAATAAAAGTATTCATTTCAACAGTTTCTAATAATCGTAAAATGCTTTATTTAATACAACCTATAACAAAAATATGAAGTACTTAGTTCTAAGTTACAACAGACATTAATAAGCAAATCGAGTGATAATAGGGTGTAAAGGCTGTTCTTGCTTGTTTAATTTTGCTCAAAACTACACGAGGGTTATTTGCGTTCGCCGTCCCTAATCTACCAGCACCATACACCGCCAACTCCTTGGGTTACTCTTTATAAAAATAGTGGGTTTTACCATCATATTATAACGCCCCCATACCAGAGAGGGCGAGTGTGATCAGTAACGGAATTCGAACCCACAATCTGGGCATGGAGCGCCCTAACAATCAGGCCATGTCAGACACAAACGCTGTTTTTCTTGGAGATGTTTCATAATGATTTTACGCTGTGACACCAAAACTAAGAGCTGATATAAATAATTTCATTCACATTTGTCATACCTAACGGTGAATGGACTCTTTACGCTTAGAACAGCCTCCAATACAACTTGTGCTATCTCTAGAATTATCAGCAGCTTCATACACAAGAGAGCGAGTATAAAAATATCATAAATAATAATAATGCCGCCTAAATCCTAACAATTTTTTACTTTCTTTCAAATGAACGATAACTGTAGTAGAGATAATATTCGGCGAATGAAGACATGGGTTCGAATCTCACTTGATATATTGTTATCTTCTTAAAATGACGTAAAATAATCTTAGTGAGCATCTTGAATAAAGTCAATTTTGTTAACATCAAATGGGTTTTCATGTGTACTTGGATAAGAGAATTGGGGCGTGGCAAATGTTATATTTATGTCTTTATAAGTTGAGGTACCCGTCCTTTGTCCAGGTTATGAACTTAGAAAAAATGTGTGGGTAGATGCTATGATAAATAACACACAAATCCTAACTTTGAGACAATTTATTTATAACATATTATATTATTAATTACTACCTCACCAAATGTTTTGTATAAGCTTTAAGAACTCAA